TACGTTAACGATATTGTAAACATAAATCCACTGACTAAATTCGTAACATACGCGGGTGACACGAGGCTCTTCTTTTCTGGCGAGACTGGCGACGAGCTTATCAGCTGCGCAAACGTGAGCTTATCAGCTGCGCAAACGTGACCCTAACAGCGTTGCAAAAATGGTCCTCAGATAACGCGTTAACCATCAATGCGAATAAGACGAAGGCAATCATCTTTCGGCCTAAAAACAAACCTCTTTCTACAACTAAGACCCTTGTCTTAAATGCAAAGGATATAGTTACTGTAAATAATTTTAAGAATTCAGGTGTAATTTTCAATCATTACTTACCTTGGAAAATCGTGTAAATGATTTACGCACTCGCGATTGTCAAAGGTCATTGGACTAGTCTCTCGTAACCGTTTTAGTCTACCGAGAAATGCTACGTTTCTTTTATACCATGACTATTTTTTTTTCTCACCTGAATTATTGTCATTTAGTTTGGGGCACAACTCCCCGCACAAATCTAAAAAAATTAAAAAAAAAGTAACTAATATTGCAAAAAAAAAATTGCGCTTCTTTGAGAATGTTTTTTGCGACTCTGGCACCCAGGGTCTGTTTATAAAAAAATAATATACTTCATGTTTACAACGTGTACAAGTATAAAATTGCCATCTGTTTTAAGTTAAAAGAAATGGGGATAGCTTAGTAAACCTTGCGGAGCTAAAAGAACATGCAACTTCCCACCCAACTCGGTCGGCGGCATTGGACCGTGCCACTGTGTCACAAAAACAATTCAATGCAATCACTCAAATACAGACTTCCTACTCATATTGAACACACTAATAAAAAAAAATAACATTGATATTATTTCTCTTGCAATTCAGGAATTACGAATTGAACTAATGCGGGACGAAAATAAATGTATCGATTTATGAGACCTGTTTGATTTTTGTATTTTATTTTCTTATGTCAGTTTTCTCAGTGTTTTTTTTTACGCTCTTGCTTTGTTTTGACTTCTGTATATGCCACTAGAAGGGAGTAAGGGCTCCGTCAAGCTGATCTCACAGCTTTTTTCCCTTGCTTCCTCCCTTCATGTATCGAAATGGAAAAGAAAGTTTCTTAATAATTAATAATAATAACTACGGCGTGAGCGTGTCTGTCTTGGCCGCGATAGAACACCAGCAAGTATACGTCTTGCTCTTTGGACGAGGTTTACGTGTTCTCTTGCGCTCGCTCACCGCAGCTTGGCAACCGTAAACGGTGTGTCCTGCATACTGGGTAGTATACTGTATACTCCGTTTCACCTTGTTGTACCGCAGCGAAGGCTAGAAGCGCGAGCTCATAGCGTTGGCGGCTGTCCTCAATGCACGAGAGCTTGTGCCGCCGACACTGTGTCCTAGAGCAAGAAGCTCGCGCTTCGAGCCTTTCTTGCGGTACATCATAAGGTGAAATAGAGTATAGACGCGATCAAACTTGGAAGCCAGCAATGGCGGCTCGAGTAACAGATGCGCGAGAAGCGTCTATCTATACTTAAAGGGGCCCTGCAACCATAGAGTTATTATAACGTACGCTAGAGGTTCAACTGGCGCTAGTGTCTATGTGACTTCCGGGAGGCAAATTCAAGCAGACAGCAACCACCCTACTTTTGCGGTGCTCCTGTGCATTCCTATGGGAAAATGCGCGTGAAATTTGTCTCTTCGCCGGAAAATAACACGAATAACTTTTGTTATTTTGGTTGTACCATATAGTATGTACCTTTATTAATATTGTGAAAGTATGATTGCTTTAGTTACAGCATTTTTCTTTACCACGGAACGATGTTAAACTTCGCTGTATTTCAGGCCCAAACCTATGTTCCATGGCAGGTATGTAAAAACGAGCGACGATTCTAAGCAAAATAACGATCGAAAGGAGTGTACAGTGTGTTCAAAGTTCGCTAGCATTGCGGTGGCGCTTATATATTGCTAATATGCCCGTCCTGTCACTCTATGAAAATGACTCCGTCGTGCATCTTTACGACGACGGTTAACAAACATTCGAATGTAAGAAATAAAGTACGTGGACTACGAAAGGTGTGCCTTTTTATTATTTCCTATGTCCGGCAGTTCTTATCGGGCCTCTGTTCTCTGACCTCTCCCTATTTGCAAAGATTTGGAGCGTGCGGTTGATGATTTGAACCCAGAACATGCATCTTTGCACATATTCATGAGCAGAAAGAATAAAGCAGTACTTATTTATTGCAAATCGGACTATATTACGTGGCTTTCAATTTATTTTGGTCGCCTGCATGCACAAGGAGTTACTTATCCAATGTTACTGCGTAGTTCTTGCCGTCTCTCTTGGTTTTCCACATGTCCTTCGTTCGTTTGACACGTATATCCCCATGGTGGAAAGCGCCGATGCCGTGTTCGCGCTAACAGTGTCCGACAGTGCACATAAATACACGTACGAAGCCGTTTTAGCACCGTTTTCAATCCGATAAATTTTAAAGAAAAACGCCGTAACTGACCAATTATTTCGTCGGCCTGATTGAGAAATGTTCCAAGCTACCTAGTACGTACGAATTATTCGTGATATTTGCTCCTATATTCGAGCGCGGAGAGAAAATGTACTCGCTTTTTCCCATAGAAATGCATTACCGGAAGTCAATTTCCGACTGGTTGCTGTCTGCTTCAATTTGCAGCAGCACACTAGCGCCACTTGAACCTCTAGCGTACATTATAATAACTCTATGCCTGCAACAACTTTTTTACTGCTTTTCAATAGACCGATCTCACCAAGCGTTGCACGCATGCGTGATGCCGCCATAACTGTAGTTCGTAGGAGGCAGACGCCAGTTCACGAGAGAGCTCATGCCGCTTCGTGCTCTGCTCGCGCAGACCTCCAGCGGGGTTGTCGCGCGTGCAGAAAGACTACAACTCCCACGATGCATCTCGGCAGCGGTAGCGTATCAAACCAGCTGTGAGATCGGTCTATTTGCACCGGATCTGAGCGCACTGAACGTAGTAACTTAAAGAAACTTTTCTTTTCTCAAATTTCGATTTTAAAAGTTATAGGCAAATTAGAATTACAAAAACAAGCAAAAAAAAAAGAAAAACCTCCTTCCTGACGTCGTAGGTCCTGGCTCAATTGAGTGGCCGTGAACTAGAGGAGTAGTGAGCTCATCAAGCGCTCACGGCTGCCGCACTCCGTGTCGACGGCTCGAGAGGGCGCCACTAAAGCACGTTTTGGATAGGCTGAATGAAGCAGGCTGCCAGGGCGGCTGGCATTGCATTTGTTGCACGATTAAACACTAATTTGGCATAACATTTCATTGGCCACAAACGACAGCAAACACGGGGTAACGATCAGTTCAGAACGGCAGCCACTTCGCGCTGCCATACCGCCCAATGGCCAAATCGCCAGCCAAGCCCGCGCCGAAAGCCTTCGGAACGCTCGGAACCGGTCGGATCCTCGAGCTGGTATACGACCGCAGCGCCGCCGCGTACATCCGGGACCTTTCTACGCGCGCCGTTCGTCGGAGCCTCATCCTACTAGCCCTTCCTAGCATGCGCCGTTTTTTCCGCCGTTTGGTGGCGGGTTTGTCGACGGGTGTTTTCTTGTTTCCGTACTTTATAAACTGCATTTGTTTCTTTTCTTATCTAAAATACTGAACAAAAACTACTTTCATACATAATTGTGATGGTTCGCGACACTTATATTTTGTATCTCGACTAAAAAAAAAAAAGCTTTTAGCGGCTCTGATTAGTGGTAAGCGCAGGACCAAAGACGTCACATATTGCGCGCTTTCGGCAACGCGGGTCGCCCTCGTAGGTGGAGGAGTTTCCGCGTCGTCCGGTTAAAATATGATGCACTGATATAGACGCTTTACACACGCGCCAGATTGAGCCGCGATAGCCGCCCTTCTCTAGTCTTACCGAGATGCCGAGCCACTGAAGCGGGCGTTAACGGGTCTTCACAAGGGCCTATGCTGGGCACAAGAACACAGTAGCATCTAAAATGGCAATAACCTGTTCTTCTGTGGTAATGATGAAATGAAGCGAACGGAATAAGAGGGAACAAAAACTGAAGGTCAGTTATGGCGGCGCCCATGCACAGCTGCTGTAAAGCGTCTATTTAGTTACTCTCTCCGTGCCCGCTGGCTTGCCCGAACCCCAAGAGACGTGGAAACCGCAAAAAAGATAGACGCTTAAATATAATTGCAGGGCTCCTTAAAGGATTTCATAAGTCTTCACAAAAACACGCAACACCGAGGCACTCTACAGAAGCAGAAGACAGCCCCACCCGTGCATTTCCTAGCAACTTTTAAACACTCCTTTTTCTTTATTTTTACGGCGAAGCTATTTATGGCTAGGGTCCCGTGGATTTTCCGTGTACGGCAACAGAAACGACGTCAGGACTTTGTGTCACATGACGTCAATTTCCCCGTTAAATTTAGCGGGGAAATTGACGTCACGTGACCTCAACACCAATTCAGTTTCCCCGATAAATTTTGCGGGAAACTGAATTGGTGTTGAGGTCACGTGACGTCAATTCTATCCGCTAAATTTAGCTGTGAAAATGACGTCACGACTTCGTGTCATGTCACCCATCAACAAATTCAGCGGCAGGAGGAGAGGAGGAGGAGAGCAAGAGGAGGAGGGAAGCGCACCGCCCTCTCTTCGTCGTCGTTCCAAGCTGCTTGCGTGCTTAGTTTCCTTTCCTTCCGCCGGGTGGGGGTTCCGTCACGCGTGTCTAGTTCCCTCCGGCTCCTCGGGGCGGCGATAGTCCTCGACATGTGTGTGCGTACCGTTCGTCACGATGACCACCGATCAAGACGATTAAACGTGTTCGTACCTTTGTTCCAAATTCCCTGTCACGTCTGTGTCGTGTGCTAAAAACAGCTTCGCTGGTCATCTACCTTCACAGAGTGGAATGGCTGATAATTTCTTGTTGTTTCTTTTTTTCTTGGTTTTTTGGAAGGAGTTTTTAGTTTTTATTTCCCTCCATCGATGCAGTGGAAAAGAGGCGAGACTCACCAGGGCTTCGGAAGGCACCGTTCTGGCGAAGGTAGAGTTCTCGATGCGAGTCACGCTGGCGTCCGAACATTTCTGAAACGATACAAGACCTTTCATTAACCGATGGAACTAATCGACGCCCTTAAATAAAAACCCGGCACCGCACACCTGTGACAAGCGAGTACACCAAGAAGTGAGGAGACCTCGGCCCCTACACAACGGTCATTATTTCTGGCACGACCACTGGTACTGAAGAAGATGGATATTACTTCCCTCGAAATTTTCTATTATGCCTTTCTGAAATTCTGAAAAGGGAAAAAAAGGGGGGGGGGGGGGGCGATACCCATCTATGCTACTTGCCCTTACTTCCGACGCCACTCGGGCGGGGGGGGGGGGGGGGGGGTGGAGGGAGACGGAGGGGTGAATCGCCCCCCGCCCCCCCCCAAGTGGCGTCGAAAAAGGGGGGGGGCGGGGGTGTAAAGGGGTAAGGGCGGGAGGCGATCATTGACAGAATCAGAACAACAGGGGGTGTCTCTCGACAACTCGGCATCCAGCACACTCTCCATGCCTTCCGCCGTGCTTTGGCTGCGCACACCCTCTCAAGGTCGGAAACTGAAGCTCTCCCCTGCCGTTCTCACCAGTGATAAAGTTACCGAATCCTGGGAAAGTAGCGCCGTGCCTCCCCGTATGCTCGCCATTCTGATTCATGATATGAGCGGTTTCTCCTTGCCTTGTCCATTCTCGGTGAGCCGATCCTGATTCCAGGTTGCTTTATATAAAGACACTCCTCGAATACCGAGATTCTGTTGTATAAACCGGCGAAACAAGCGCACATCTTTGCATCGCCATCGCATGCGGCGTCGATGCTTGTGGCTTCAAAAGCAAATTTCCCAGTCTCGAAATAAAGCCTTTATCTTGAAATAGGCAGGAACGACAATACCACTGTGAGAGATCTGTAGGGATATGTGGACAGCATGCACAGCGCCAAACGTGCGCATGCTGGCGAGGAACGATTTAGGTACCATGATGTTTATAATAGCCATGTTGGTGCGACTGGTTGAGAACGACCTTCTAATCAATCAATCAATCCTTTATTTCACACTAGAAACTGATGTCGGATGCACGGGCCAAAAGTCAAAAGTTTGTCTTGACAAGGCCTCTGCAGCCTTACAATTGACACACGGCGACATCCTACACATCAAGTGTTAATATTTAGTTTTCAGGTGTTTAGCGAAAAAATCAAAAAGGACAAAAATAACTGCCTCAATTAATCACACTATCAAAGATATCAAATATAAAATATATATATTAGGCACATGACGACATATTTAGGTACATGACAGAAATGTAAAGATAATCGTATTACCTCAAGCATAACAGAAATATACAGAACACACGACCCCAAAATACAAGCGAGGTTTTAATGCAGAAAAAAAAAATTCTAGTTGTACTGATATTCAGTTTCTCGATATTTGTTAAATTACGCTTGTGAAATTTATTTCGAAAAAATGGAAGATTATACCTTAGCACTTGGAACCCGTAATTTGTATGACTTGTTCGTATTTTCCAATGCTCCCCCTCACGAACGTCGTATACTCTAATATTTGGTGTTAGGTTTGAAATATGTCCAAAGAAAGGCACGTTAGAACGAACGGCAGATCTATATCGTGTCAATAAATTATACTCATATAGGCGTAGTTCTTTAAACAGTCGACGTGCATATGTATCGAAAGGAACATTAAGTATTGTGCGAACAGCCTTTTTTTTTTTTTTTTTCAAGGAGGTGAAATCTGTTAATATTTGACAAAGGTGTGGTACACCACACTAAATTACAATAGTTTAAATGGGGTACAAAAAGGGCCTTGTATATAAGCATCCTTATGTGACGAGGCAATAAATCTATGATTTGACATAGTTTCCCACGCACTCTAGATAGCTTTTTAACAACATTATTAACGCGGGAATCCCAAGACATCTGTTCATCAAAATAAACTCCCGAGCATTTTAACGTTCGGAACAATTTCCATGACTGAGGGGCCCAGGATAATATTAAAAGAAAAACTAACATGTCTATTCTTGGGTTTTAACTTCACTCCAATCATATAGCTTTTCAAGTAAAGCATTTGTTTCATTAACAAGGTCTTCTATTTCTGTACCGGAAAAAAAAAAAAAAAACATAGACTGGTATCATCGGCATAAATGATGAAAGACCGGGCTTTGCTGATATTAACAATATCGTTTATGTATAGATTAAATAACGTAAAATGCTACCTTGCGGTACTTCAGCTCTAATGAGTAGGACAGAAGAACTCTGTCCGTTTATTACGAGATATAGACCGATCTCACCAGCCAGTTTGACTACGCCACCGCTGCCGCAATGCATCGAGGGAACTTTAGTCTTTCTGCGCGTGCGTCAACCTCGCTGGAGCTCTGGGCGTGCAGGGCACGAACAAACTCGTGCACTGCCGATTGCCTCCTGTGAACTAAAGTTATGGCTGCCTCGCGCATGCGTCGAACGCTTAGTGAGATCGGTCTATTGCAGGCGAAACTCAGTACGATTGTAAAAGAACTAAAGGTACACCGCGAATTCCATAGCACTCAAGCTTTCTTTCGTTAGGGTAGTATGGTCAATACGGTCGAACGCTTTCGAAGAATCAATGAAGACGCCTATAGTTAACTTTTTTTTCTTCAAACAGCTTTAAAATTCACTCCTGCTCTAGCAAGGCGAACTCCGTTGATCGACCTCTACGAAAGCCATACAGTGAGTTAGAAATTTATGAAAATTTAGTGCAGGAACTTGTGACTCTACAGCGAATAATCTTTTCAAGGCTAAAGTTGAGGCTTGGGCGAGTTGGTACATACTTCGGAATTAAGAAAACAGCGCGGAAAGACGAGGACCAGACAAAGAAGTGACACGGACGTAGCGCTGCATCCGTGTCACTTCTTTGTCTGGTCCTCGTATTTTCGCGCTGTTTTTAATTCCGAACTTTTCAAGGCGTTTCGAAAACACAGGTGGTATTAATATTGGCCTATAATTCGAGAATTCATTTTGGTTCTCTCCTTTAAACAAAACAATGGCTTTTGCAGTTTGCATCTCTTTAGGAAAAATACCACTATACAATGAGGAGTTCAAAATCTGTGTTGATACAGGTGAAAGAACGACCAAAACGTGATTAATTGGTTTGATCTGCAAATCGTCTATATCACAGGAGTTGCTGTTTTTAAGAGATGACATAATTGAAATGATCTCATTTTGATTTGTTGGGAAGAAAACTGCGCTGTGTTCGTTTCTAGGCTTCATATACGCCATTGATGAAGGTATGCTATACTAGCAAAGTTAGTCAAATAACTATTGAAAGCTTCAGCTTCCAGCTTCAGATCGGTTCATTCGAAGTTCCGAATGAACCGATCAGACAATCCCCTTGCGAGGTATGGTCATCTGCGTGTCTGTTTGTGTCCGGTTAGCAGGCAGGGAAGGCAATGGGGCTACATTCCCCTGGTCCAGTGACGATCTGTAGCGAGTGAGTATGCGCCGAGAAGCTGACGGAGAGGAGGAAACCAGACGGGACGCCAGAACTCCAATCTCTGGTTTGAATGACTGGTGGGCAGACCTACGGCTAGCGTCCTTTGTCTTCCCTGAACTCGTCCAACACGTTTGAATGCGAGAGTCAAACGTCGAATGCCGCCCTTCCGCGTTCGACGAGTGTAGTGTGAGACAAAGACAGCTAGCTTTACGTCTACCCCCTAATCCTTCGAAGCAGAGCTTGGCGTTCTGGCGTCCCTTCTGGTTTCCTCCTTCCCCCCCCCCCCCCCCCGCCCCGCCCCGCCCCGCCCCGCCCCGCCCCCCCCCCCCCCCCCCCCCCCCCCCCCCCCCCCCCATAGAAAACAAAACACGCTGGCACCCTGGCGCCACCTCACAGGTAGCCGAGCACTTCCGATCCACTTCTAACTAGACTGAAGGTTTGCATAGTATTTCCGAGATGAAATGTATACCCACCAGTGTTGCGGAGTGGGCACCCCCCATTCCATTCAAATTCCATTCCGGGGAATTCAAGTTTTCGATAATTCAATTCCTGTCAACTCCTAGGAATGGGGACACTGGACCCATTCCCACTCCTGGAATGGCTGAATCGTACCATTCCATTCCTCATATTCCTAAACGTAAAAAATTGGGACTTGACAGCTACATTGTGTTGCCGGCATAAGTAGCATAAAGCTGACAATATCAAACGCGTAGAGAATTGCAAAAAATGCTAAATGCCTAAAAAAAAGCACTGATTTTACTAAGCGGAGCGCTGGTGGCACAAAGTATTTGTTTACATTGTACTGCAAACATCGAGAAAGCCCGTTGATTTCTCGACGCTTGTTTAAAACATCGGTCTCGCGATCGCGTGGCTCGCAAAGTGCAATGTCGGAGAAACTATATGACGTTTTCGTTCGTCCCGGGTTCGTGTCGAAGTGGAGCGATCTGCCGGCAGCTGAATGGCGCATACTCATGGAGTTCAGACTTGAAAGTAGTTCTACTCTACTCGAGTTACTGTAGTTTAACTACTTTTCTGTGCAGTTCAGTGTGTTTTAATTACATCTTTATTTCGGTAATTAGTAGTTTACTTTAATTACGTTTTCCAAAGAACTTCTACTCAAACCACAAACTACTTACGAATTTTAATGGCAGGTTTGCTCATCAACAAACATTCCTGCACGAAAAGAGATATGTTGGAAGATCAAGTGATATTTGCAAAGAGGTGGAACAGGCACGTAGCCAGGGGGGGGGTGCCATGGGGCCCGGCCCCCCCCCCCCCTCCCCCCCCGAAATCTTCGATTTTGCTGGGACCTCCTCTCCCCCTCATACAGCATTTGCCCCTCCCCCTCCCCCCCCCCCCCCTCCCCGAAACAAAATCCTGGCTAAGTGCCTGAGGTGGAAGCATGTGACCTAGGAGTGGGCGGGGGAGGGGGGGGGGGAGGGGTTGGAGAGTCCGAAATTCCCTAAATTTAGCAGAAAAATTACCAAAACTTTTTCCGCTAGATTTAGCGGGAAATTTAGCCAAAATTTCTGAGCTAAATTTATCGGGGAAATTGACCAAAATTTGTGC